TATTTTCATTTTCATATTTTATTGCTGTTATCATCATTATCACTCTTATTGTCGTCATTATTACTATCTTTATCATTTTATCGTTATTCTCATATCTATTATTTTTATTGTCGTCATTATCATTATTATCTTTATCATATTATCGTTATTCTCATATTTATCAGTATCCTTTTTAGCTTCACTATCGCTGTCTCCCTCTCCTCCTCCCCTTCACTACCTCCCTCCTCCCCCTTCCCCTCCCCATCCCCAACCTCCCTCACCTATCTTCCTCCCCCCCTGCCCCTCTTTACCACCCCCCCTCACCACCTTCCGCCACCTCTCCTTACCCTCACCACCTCCCCCTCACCCCCACAACCCTCCCATCACCCCCACCCCTTCCCCTCCCCCTCCCACCTCCCCTAACCCCTCACCCCCTCCTTTTGTGCCCCCCCCCCCTGACAACCTCCCCTCACCCCCACCCCTTCCGCTCCTCCTCACTATCTACCACCTCCCCTCACCCCCCCCCTTTTGTGACCCGCCCCCCCGACCCCCCTCACCTCCACTCCTTCCGCTCCCCCTCACAATCTACCACCACTTCCCCCTCCCATTTTGTGACCACGCCCCCCTGACCGCCTCCCCTCACCCCCCCCCCCCCCCCCTTTTGTGACCACGCCCCCTGACCGCCTCCCCCTCCCGCCCACAGTCGCGCCCGTGTGCTCCGCCGACCAGAAGTGGGTGTACGGCGGCGGTCGACACCAGCCCGTGAACGTGACCTGCAACGTGGAGAGCCACCCCGAGGCCTCGACCTTCAAGTGGGCCTTCAACACGTCGAGCGAGTACGTGGAGATCCCGCAGGACCGCATCTTCTCGAGCCGCAGCCGCAGCATGGTCGCCTACACGCCGCAGACGCACCACGACTTCGGTTCGCTGCTGTGCTGGGGCGTGAACGACGTCGAGAACCAGAAGCAGCCGTGCGTGTTCCACATCGTGCCGGCGGGTGAGTCTGTGCGTCCGTTTGTTCGTCTTGAGGCTTTGGCATATTGGTTATAGGTAGAGCTGCCGCTAGAGAGGCAGACTGAGATATAGTGACCACATAGCGGCCTGTGAGAGGTTCTAACCGAGCGCGCCCGCAGCCGTGCCCGAGCCGGTGCACAACTGCAGCGTGTGGCACAACGCCAGCGCGGCCGGCGAGGTGGTGGTGGCGTGCGAGGCGGGCTGGAGCGGCGGCCTCACGCAGACGTTCACGCTGGAGGTGCGGCAGGGCGGGCGGGGCGGGGCGAGGGCGGGGCGCGCGCGGGGGCGGGCGCGAGCCGCGTGCTGGCGGCGCTGCGGGACCAGCCGGAGCCGCACTTCACGGTGACGGGGCTGGCGCCGGGCACCGAGTACCGCCTGGCCGTCGTGGCCTCCAACGCCCAGGGCGCCGCGCCGCCCACCGTCCTCGTGCACCTCACGCCCATCGACGTCGCCGAGAAGCGCACCAGCCCCTCCGCCGCCGACTCCGCGGGCGCCGGCTCCCTCGTCAGCCTCACGCCCATCCTCGCCGTGCTGCTGGGCGTGGCGGCGTCGCTGGTCGTGTGCTCCGTCGTGCTCGTGGTCGTCATGCGCGCCCGCAGCGCCAACGCCCGCGCCCGCGCCGCCACGCAGACCAAGATCATCTACGACAAGGCGTCGCCGACCGCCAAGGGCGCCGACGACGGCGGCTTCGTGCAGCAGGAGAGGGGACCCGACATCATCCTCGTCAAGAGCGGTAGGGCTCGGGGGACATGGGGGGGGGGAGTAAGTGTGTGTGAGAGAGAGAGGGGGGAAGAGAAAGAGATAGATAGAGAGAGGAGAGTGAGTGGGTGAGTGAACGAATGAATGAATGTGAGTGAGTGAATGAGTGATTGAGTGAGAAAGAGAGAGAGAGACAGAGAATTAATTTCTCAACACATTTTTTTCTTTTTTTTTACCCGTACATGCTTTCAATAACGAGACAAAAATCCCCAGAATATCAATCAACCCCAAATCATCCATAAATGAAAGAAAACAAAAAAACAAAAACAAAACAGAGAGGGAAGGTAAAAATGCATAAAACCCTAATTCAAACCCCCTTAAAAAAAGAGAAAAAAAAGAAACAAAGCAAGAAAAAAATATATATACATCTATATAAATAAAAGGTAAAACATAAACAGCAATTCATAAATCTGAAGGTAAATATCTTCTCCTCCCTCCCCCCCCTAATTTATAGATACGAGGGTACCAGGTGAAGACAAACAGCTGGTGCGAGACTACCTGAGAGGTCGTGATGGCTCTTTCTACATCAACCCAGGCTCCTTGCTCAACAATGTAAGTGTGTGTGAAAAGAAATAATAAAAAAGGGTAAAACAAATGAGTAATTAAGAAAATTTGTCAGTGTAAAGTAGTTAAAAAAATATATGAATAATAAAAAAATATATATATGACACACAAGCAAACAAAAAATTATCAGGCAAATAAGAGTAATAAAAAATGTATATATAATATATATATATATATATATATA